TCTAACGTAAATTTAGAGTATAATATCAATATATTTTGGGGAAATGTGTAGATATCATTTATAAACCAGAATAGTATGCTCTAATGGAACTCGTGGTTTATGTTTGGACTGTGGAGGCGCATATTTAATAAATTCAGCTTACAGATATATTCAGTGTTTAAAATGTGTTGAAATTCCCAGTCATAGTGTCAATAAACACATCCCAAATTGTCCCTACATAGAGGACAAAACTGATTTATTTCTGCATTTGTAGCCTAACAAATAAAAATGTAGTAGGCAGTTAGACAGGCATGAGCAGAGCAAGGACAAAAATACCTCCAAAAGAAAAACTAAAGAGGAAAAATATGCTGCATGTAACAGTGCCTTGAACAGTAAAACTCAATTACAAACGACCTTGTTAAACCATGGATACAACTGCACTGTAGGTCAAATCATGCAAAACAGTGATATACTATGTACCTAAAAATGTAGACATTTTTTAAAGTTGTTCTCACCCCCTTCAATAGAAAACCAGCATTTTGCATGGGTGCCATTAAAAGCATTTATATATATGTATGCATGTGCACACATGTGTATAGAGATTAGACAGATATTGCAGAGAAATGTACTTAGTCATTTTCTTCATGTTCCAATAAGTCTAACCATTCCTCTAAAAATTTATGTTAAGAATAAGTAGAAGACAAGAATTGTTAGTATTTCATTGACAAGGACACTAAATCACTGTGCCAAATGAAGAGTCAGACTTTTTTTTTTTTAAATATGTCTTTATTGATTTCAGAGAGAGGAAGGGAGAGGGAGAGAGACAGAAACATCAATGATGAAAGTCATTGATGGGCTGCCTCCTGCACGCCCCCCACTGGGGATCAAGCCCACAACCCAGGCATGTGTCCTGACTGGGAATCCAATCGAGATCTCCTGGATCTTAGGCCGATGCTCAACTGCTGAGCCACACCGGCCGGGCTAGAATCAGGCTTTCTAAAAATTACCCAATAAATCGGTGGTGAGTGACAACTAAAAATCAAAAACTAACTTCTAGGTCTCCATTTGCCAGGGCCATCTTTCCATCTCCCCTGTTTCAGCCTGTGCTCCACACCTAAAGTAAAACCGTTCTCTAAAAAGATTTATGGTAACTCACTGTAAAATTATTCCTCCTTCTTCCAGTGGTATAGCTCAATCTGCTTCAAATACTATAGTTCAAAATAAAGTTAACCAAAGAATTTCTGAACAAAATGGCAAATTCATCATATTACATGGCATTAAAAAAAAAAAAATCAAAGCTTCCTAAGCAAGATTTATCATGTGAAATACTGTGCAAGTATGTGGAACAGAGAAGAGGTTGATTCAGCTAGTTTGGCCTTCATATCTAGCAGCATCTGTGCTCCTCCGTGTTTTGATGGAGCCCTACTAATAACAGGTTGATGAATTGCATTTGTAAATGTCAGGCATAGATCAAAGGGGACAATGTTAGATACTTATTTTGCTTCAACTTACAGTTTTTCACCAAGGAAACAAAACTGCATTGCACAGTAAAGTTCCTTATTTTTACTGGAATCTTTAATGAACAAAACAGCTGCAGAATAATGCGACTTAATGAGGCATCTCTAATAAAATACTGGAGAAGTAAAAGCACAGGCACTGAACTGTTTGCACTCTGGTTGTTTCATCTTCTCAAATATATTAGAAATAACTGATGACACTTGGAACATTCCTAGTTTAATACATGCAGTAGAACAGCAAATGTTATCAGTTTGCAGCCACAGCTGAACTTAGGCAGAATCTGACAGCACCTTCTATTAGGGCCCATGAAAAAGAAATGCCTGCAAAATGCTGGAGAGGCACATCTTACCCTACCCATACAGGGTAATCCATAACCTGCAATTAGTGATAAACCAGCCCTAAAATACACTCTTAACATTTCAATGTTCAAAAATACATTGTAAAAGGGTCATTTATTAAAGTACTACATTGAAGATACTGGATCCAGGACCACTAAAATTTTCCGATAATACGCAAAATAATTCTTATAAAATCTTGTATTATCCCCTAAGTTTCATTACTTTATAAATTTTTAAAAAGGAAAAGTAACCATGTCTAAAAACAGGCGTTTTTACAGCTGTGTCATCACATTTTATATCCTAGTGGTTAGTAAATACTATAATGCAGTCTCTAAGCAATATGTATCATTTTTGACATAGATCCGTGGGCATCTCCATAAATCTTCGTTCTCCAATTTGTCATTGTTAAAATAGCTAACATCTTTCAGATTCAAAATCACATAAACTCAGAAAACTTCAATTCCCCTTCAGCACAACTTGTAGCATTAATATCAAGGTTGTGGTTCTTCTTTAAGAGACATATATCGTAGCACCATATATTAATACGTAAGTTTACGCATCCTAAACTACAAAGTTTTATTAAAGGTGCAAAAGAATCAAGATTTTAATCTCAAAAAAAGTGCCTAATAGAAAGCAACACACTGAAACCGTGCTCTGCCTCTTAAAAGTCATCATGCCTAAGCATTCGGTTGGTGTGCACTGTTCTCACAGTATTCTATCTATAAATACTACAATCCCATTTTTTATTGACAATTAAGAAAACCAAAATACAATAAGCCCCGGTGTAGTTACAGATGGCCTTTCAATGGCTACTGGTGGCTTCAAAACGTAGGACTCAAAAGAGGTCAATATGTAAACGATTGACCCAGGATGAGACCCAGAACAGAATAAAGTAAGAAAAAATTAAATGACCTGTGAATGATCGTTTTTTAAGGCTCTTTAGGTGCCAAATTTGAAACTGTAAAAGATTCACCAGTCTGAGAGTACATGTAGAAACAGAAAGGCTGCAGTAAATACAGATAATCTTAATGCTCGGGTCTTTAAAGGCTTTAGAAGTGTTTTCAGTCTCCTTTGCTAGTTATTGCCATTTAGCACTTTACACAGAAATCTTAAATTAATTACTCATTGTCTTGACTTACATTGCCTAACAGAGCAGTTTTAATGTGTTAATTGCTAACAGCCAGAACATTAATGTCCCAAACAATCTAGTTGGGGAGACAGGAACCAGATAATTATCATTCAGTCAAGAGTCATTGAAATTCATCCAGTCCTGAGTGAAGGTCTCCTATACTGACTGCTTTGGGGGTACTTTGCAGGGTAAAGGTTGCATACAGGTTTGTGTGTGTGTTTCAAAAAATGATTTCTGCAAAATGCAAGAGGGGATTTAACACTCACAAACCGAAGACGCTTTCTTTTCCGTCTCATTGCCACAAGGCAAACGCACTCGGCACGAGGTGAGGAGAGGCTCGCTGGCCGCTGTGGTAACTACACATTTGATTCCAAACGCTTCGGGCGCTAGTTTCGCACCGGGTCAGGGCGCGGAATCGCTGGAGAGGCGAGCGTCGCGCCCCCCCCCC